AAAGCCCGCTGTTTGCCGCGCCTTCCCCCCCCCCCCCCCGTGTGGCAGGGGCCTAAGCTTTGTATCTCGAGAAGTGTGCATGCATGTGAAAGCTTGTACCCGGAATAAAACTTCCTTGATAAGGTGCCACTGGACTCAAACTTTGTTCTGCTGCTTCAGATCAATACGGCTACTCACCTGAATCAAAGCTTTCCAAGTTGTTTTTGTTCCTTTTATAGTTGAATTTTGTGATTGTTAGTTCTCATGCCATGGTTCCATCACTTTTCTAGAATGATATATATTATATATGAAATTCATTTCAGTACAGGATCCAAGTTTTTATCTGTGTATTTAGAATTCCACTAGATGGCTCCAAATATCCTCTGAAAACACACGACATACCTTAAAATTGTGTTTCCAAGAAGCTGTAAGACATAAACATTTGGTCTGAAATCTGATTTCTAGTAGCATGCATTTAGTAATTTATGTTGTACATATTTATGGTACATTCCTGTGCTAAGGGTGAATTTTACATAAAGGTTATTATCACCTAAAATCTTTGTGTATACATTTAGAATAATGTACTGTAGCGTAAATTAGAAATCATCTGAAATCCCATCACTTGGGACATTTAAATTTAGATTACAGAAAGCATTAGGAATTCATAAATAAAAATACCCACAGACTTTCCAAATATGCAAAAGAAAATGAGAAAAACATTTTTTTCTAGCTTTGAAAATCGTGCAAACTCATTATTTTGTGTAATACGTTGAGAGCCATAATGCCAAATTGAACATACCCAAAGTTATGTTATACAGAATCAAAACATTGGCCTATCAAGGTCAGTAAGGTCTAACTGCCAGTGGTTCTCCAGGATCTCAGGTGTAGAAGTCTTCCAGATCACTTGCCACATGATTCTTTTAAGTGGAGCTGCTTGGGGTTGAACCTGAAATCTTCTGCATGTAAAGCAGATGTTCTGTCACTGATCCAGATAGTAAAATGCACTATAAACTAACCAGATTGTGGGCCTGGCTATCTACAAATAAATCCTCAGGTTCTGCTTACCTTTTTGTGACTTGGGGTGCAGACATTAATAAGTTAAAGTCAAGAATAAAACATGCAGTTGGAATAAGAGTAAATTGGCTAAATACATAACTGAATCTAAACACTTTGTAACTGACTGTCACTCTTTTTCATCTACCAAAGTCTAGTATAAAAAGGGCTTAGAACCCTTCTTAAAGTTGTCAAATACAATGGGAATTTTCTTTTTCTTTTTTAAAGCATAGTTATCTAACCCAAAGGATGTCCTGTCACATTTGGGTTTTTTAAACTTAATTTATACCCTGCCTTGTTTACATCCATCCTTACAACAACCCTGTTAGGTACATTTGGCTGAGTGTGTGGCTGGCCCAAGGTCACCCAGCAAGTTACAGATGTTCAGTTTCTTTCCTCACCAGCTTGTTAAAGATGCTAGTTTCAATATGGAATATTTTCTGTTACGTTCTGATCTCCTTCAGTAGTTGTATTGATGTCTGCTGCTGTGCATCTAGAATAGGAAACAAAAGCAGAAAGCATGTCTATGCAAACTGCCCATAACCGGACTTCCATTGTTAATACTACTACCATAGTAATACTCTGACTTGTTTTCCAATGGGTCAGATATTTAGCCCTTAGAAAGAATGAGAGAGGCTATGAAGAAATAGATATTGTTTAAGGTAAAGGTTCCCTTGCTCGAAAGCCAGTCGAGTTTGACTCTAGGGTTGCGGTGCTCATCTCCGTTTCAAAGCCGAAGAGCCAGCGCTGTCCGAAGACGTTTCCGTGGTCATGTGGCCGGCATGACTAAACACCAAGGCGCACGGAACGCTGTTACCTTCCCACCGAAGTGGTACCTATTTATTTACTTGCAATTTCTTGCTTTCGAACTGCTAGGTTGGCAGGAGCTGGAACTAGAGATAGGAGCTCACTCCGTCATGCGGCAACTCGGGTCTTGAACTGCTGAACTACTGACCTTCCACAACCTGCAGTTCAGCGTCTTAACCACTTGAGCCACCACAGCTCCTAATTATTGTTTAAATGATAGCAATTAAAGACTATAAAACTTAGAAGATAGAGTATTATGAGAAACAGTCTGAGATTTATGAAGGAAACATTGTAGAAGCCTAACTGATATAAAATAATAATCATTAGTTATCTGTTTATTAAATTATGTACTATTTGTCCAGGAGTTAAAGAAAATATAGTAATTGTTTAACAAGCAATCACTGGTAGTGAATAAGAAAATTTTATTTATATTTAGTAGACAGTGGCAGTGGTATAGAGTATAATTGGAAGGAATAGTTTGTATACCATTCCAAAACTGTATGATATTTGTGTTATGAACATGTGATATGGAAAATAATAAAATATACTATTAAAAAGAAAGAATGAGGGAGAGAGAGAGAGAGAGAGAGAGAATAAATGTTCTCTACCCCCGTTTTTCTCTCTCTTTAAAATATTTTAACATGGTTATGTTGGTTTGTGAAAGAGCCAGCTGTGGTGTAGTGGGTTAAGAGTGGCGGACTCTAATCTGGAGAACCAGGATTCCCTATTCCTCCACATGAAGCCAGCTGGGTGACCTTGGGTCAGTCACAGTTCTCTTAGAGCTCTCAGCCCCACCTACCTCACCGAGTGTCTGTTGTGGGGAGAGGAAGGAAAGACAATTGTAAGCCACTCTGAGACTCCTTTGGGTAGTAAAAAGCGGGGTATAAAAACCAACTCTTCTTCTTTTTACCTGAACTTCCATTTTTCTGAAGACAGTGATTTTTTTGCAACCCAGTCCTAATCATGCTTACTTAGAAGTAATTCCCATTGATTTCTTGGGACTTAATGTCCAAGTCAGTATACTTAGGATTGCAGCTTTAGTCCCAGAGTGGTTCCATATGTCCTTGCAGGTTGAGTAAGAAGCATTTTCCAATATGGGCTTCAGTGAAGAAATCAATTGATTCTATTATCTCTTTAAAATGATTGTACTTTATTTCCTCTGGGAATTGTGAGGACATATTTGGTTGGTATAGAAAGAAAAGTAATTGAATTTTCAAGGTCTGTATCTCAGGTTCTCCAACTGGACATATTTCACTTTTGGCTCCCCAGTCATATCAAGCAAAAGTGTCTAAAAATATGTGATACTGCCTGATGATTTTAAATGTTTTATATAACAGGTTAAGATTTAAAATATATTGGTGAAATTTGACTAGCTAGATCCTTAATGTTGCAGATTACATCATCTTGTCAATACGATTTTCTAATATGCAGTCTCCATTTTATATAAGTTCCCGGTTGAAAAATATATATTTATGATGTTTCTTTGGCAGCGTTTTCACAAATGGAGATACGTTGATAGCACCTGTAAAAATTCTTATACCCAGGTTTACTCTGACAAAGTGGGATCGTGTCCTTGGAGTAATAAATGAAAAAGTACTGCTTCGCTCTGGAGGTATTCATAGGTAAGCAATTCACCCTCAAACTTTGTGCAGATAGCAATAAAGAATAGATTAATTACATTAAATTCATTTTTTGTGTAAGGATCAGGATCATGGTAACTAAAATATCCTAATATTTTAATTACAAATGTGCCAAGAAATTTCAAGGCACTGGGAAAATACCCTTTCATGCAATAACCTATCTATCTTTTTTCATAATTGCTTCCTGCTTTTTTTGCAGGGACACATTTTTCAAGTATTCAGTTTTAATGAAATGCAAGTCTTTCAGCATACAGTTTAGCCATTAATATTGGAGCTGAGAATCAACTTTGGGAATTTACATGTTGTAGTTTCTGGTTTATAATGGAACCTGGTTTAAATCAATCATGATTGCAGTCTCTGGTTTACAGGGAAACCATGGTTTGCATTGATGCATACGTAAGGTGAAATCATTACAGGTTTTTTGAGATGGAGGAGAGGGTCATATTGTACTGAACAGAGAATAAATGGGAAGAAACGGGGAAATTAGAAAATAAGAGAGAAAGATAAGGCGGCGGGAGACAAAGAACCAAAACAGGGAAGGGTGGATGAAGGCAAACCATTATTAAAGCCATCTATTAAATCCCTAGCCCCTATGTTACTTATTATTTACATTATACTCTTCCTTTCTTCACAGTAGGAACCCAAAGTGGCTTACATTGTAATCCACTCCTCCATTTTATCCTCACAACAACCCTGTGAAATATCACTCTAAGTGTGTGTGGCTGGCCCAAGATTATCCAGCAAGCTTCCAGTGTGGGGATTTGAACACTACATTCCCCAGCTCCTAGTCTGACACTGTAACCACTACATAACACTAGCTCTCATCTGTTATGTCCTCTACTTCACTGCTAAATGCAAGATTGCTTCTGTCCAGTACCTGAAGGCATAATTAACATCAGCAGGGTAAAGGGAGGAATTCCTTTGGAAACAGAATAGGAGGGAGTTGCTGCTTTCCAGACAGGTGCTTGCAATGCCTGTAGGGCCAATGTATATATTAGGATATTGCTTTAGAAAATAGATCTTAGTTGAAATATTCATTTATTTAATTACTCTATACCCTGCCTTTCTCCCCAGTGGAGACCCAAAATGGCTTCCATCATTGTCCTCTGTCCTCTCCTCCATTTTATCTTCATAACAACCCTGTAAGGGAGGTTAGGCTGAGAGACCGAGACTGGCCCATGGTCACCCAGCGAGCTTCCATGGCATGAGTTGGGAACTAGTCTGGCACCTTTGTGCATATCCATCTTCTTGAGTTCCCAGAATTATATTTAAAATATTTTTAAAAAATACTGAAACAGTTATATTTTGCATATTGAAATGGTTGTATTCTGTTTATAAGATATTCATTTATAAAACATTTACATTTTCAATTTGTTGTGCTACAGGCTGTATACCTTACATGGCCAACTTGTACATGGACCAGAGGAGTTAGAAGATAATCAGTTTTATGTTGCATGTAGTAAAGAGAGATTTCAGTCTTTGCCCTACTGGCAGCATCCTAAAGTTCCAGGGAGTATTCGGCGGTAAGCTTGGTCTTTTTATCTTCATATCTCAAATGAAGTTTTGTTGCTGGGAAACTGAAAAGTGAGCTCCTGTGCCACAAAAGCACTTCATCAGGATAAAGATTTTTATTAATTTAGTTTGCAGTCCTGATTGTAGAAGTAAGTTCCACTGAAATGAAAGATAGGCAAGCACCCAAATGCCATTGAAATCAGTGAGGTGTAGGTTATGGACGTGTGCCCTTGTTAACTCAAACGTATTTGAACAGACCTCATTTTCTAAACTTGGTGCCATTTGTTGCAGAAAAAAATGCTAGTTAAATACAAGAACAGGACCAATGTTTTATCTTATGTATTAATGATATTGGTTCTTATGTACTAATGATATTGGCGGGGCTGGACTGCTCCCAGCTGCATGGGCTCACCCTCGTTTACACCAGTACCTGGGGTTGTCGGGAGTGGCCAGGGTACCGGACGACGTGCAGCTTGCACGACACGGGTGCTATTTTGGGCTTGCCGCCGGCTCTCCAGGCTGCCATCAATACGGAGGCACAAGGTGATTAGGTTCTGCAGTGTGTGTGGCCACTCAACCCGAGCGAGCTCATCCAGGACGTTGCCAGCCAGCCCCTCCTTGTACTGGTCCATCAAGGCTGCCTCGTTCCAGGTCAAGTCTTCAGCCAGAAGTTTGAATTCGGTGGAGTAAAGGGCGACTGAGTTCTTGCCTTGCTTCAAGGTCCGGATGCCTGCTGTGGGTTTGCAAAGGCTGTGGAAAAATAAGCAAGGAACCCATGGAAATTTGAGAGCAGCAGCGAAGGAGCCACGAGCAACGGAGTGGCCCATTTAGCCACCTGCCCCTTTAAGAGGCTGATTATGAAACACACTTTGGTCTTGTCGTCCGGGAAATCCCGGGCACGTAATTCGATATACAGTTTACATTGTGCCAGGAATGCAGGGAACTCCTCCACATTACCGCCAAACTTTTCAGGAGGGGTTACCAGGCATCTCGGTGGAGGGATGGCGGCAGCGGCTTGCTGCTGCAGTTGCTGTTGTTGTTGCAGGTGAACAACCACTTGCGTGAGCTGCTGCACCTGGTTCACCAGGTCTGCCAACTGTAGAGTGCCTCCGCTCGCCTCTCCGTCCATCCTGTGGAGCGAGTGTGTGGGGGTGGCAGCAATCTGTCACGGGCTGGGGTGCAGGCAGAGAGAGAGAGAGAGTATAAGTCCAGTCCGAGGTATCCGAGGTAGGAGCCGATAACAAGAGTGCAGGCAGAGAGAGAGAGAGTCCAAGTCCAGTCCGAGGTCAGAGCCGAGAGGTAGCCGAAACAGGAGCCGATAACAAGAGTCCAAAACACAAATCAGGAGCGGAGTCGTTCAGAGCCGAGGTCGAGGAGCCAAGAGTTCAGGACACGGGTAGAGACCAAAAACACGAGCAGGGTGGTTGCACAGCGTCGTCAGATCGACTAGTTGCTGCCACAAGGAACAAGCGTCGAGTTGGGAGCTAAATACCCCTCAGCTGCTGCTGCTAATTAACGCTCGTCGTGAGCAGCCCAGCATCTGCTAAAACTCATGGCTGAGTGAGCGTCTGCCCCGAAGGCGTGCCTCTCGTCGCCTGGACATTAAGTCCTGGTGGAGCCAGTTCCTCAAACGCGCTGCCCACGGAGGCGATTCAGGGGGGCCGTCTGATGCTGATTGTTCCTCATCAGCTATTGCTGATGCGGGGCGGCCTTGGCAAGCTCTTGGCCTCCGGCGCATCATCGGGGCCAGGTGCGGGTTCTGCTGAAGCCTTGTCGCACCCATGACATCAGCATTTACAGATGGTTGATGGAGACTTCAGTTCAGTACTGTGGAGAAAACAGTATTATGACCTTTTGACTTCCCATGGTCAAGCAATGTAGAACCTTTCTACCTTTCCATATAGGAAGCAAACAAAACATAGACAGGAAGGGGATAAAATGCTTAAGTATAGATGATACTGTTCATGGGTCCACCTTAGGTCATAGTTGAAGAGTTATGTAGGGGTCTAGTTCGAATTGGGACCACAGCACATAGAGGAAACTGGTCTTAAGCCTTCTGTCCACTCTTTTCCTGACTTGAAATGGACCCAGGGAGCAGCAATTTGCACTCTTGGAAGAAACTTCTATGTACTGATGAAATACCTAGGTACTATGATGTATACATACATTGATGTGCTACCAGTGCCAGGTTTTTTTTGCACACTAGGCAAGGCTACCTTCTGCCCCCCCCCCCCCCCCCCCCCCCCCCCTCACCATCAAACATAAATGCATTTTAGGAAGAATGAAAAACACAAAATTTGAAATTGCTAATTTCTTTTTTCTTTTTTAATTGTGAGAACAAGTAGTTTGGCTCTTCTGAAGTGGATTCTGACCAGTATTCAAAAAAGGTTCAGATTGATGATATTTTCCCTTTACTCATATGCAAATGACTTCTTTGGATTATGGCCCACATCTATTTATTGAATATCTTTCATAGTAATCACAGATTTGGAGCACAATACGAGTCAGATTAAGAATCCACAGCATAATATAATAAATATTGACTCTCTAAGCAGCAGCCACCTCCCACTCCAGGTATTTTAAATGAGTACCATTTTAAGCAGAGTGTGGTAGTAGTTAGTGTCTCAAGACTAGTATCTGGGTTCAGATATTTACTCTAGCATGAAAGCTCACTGGGTGCCTTTGGGCTAGTCACAGTCTCTCAGCCTAACTACCTCACAGGGTTGCTGTTGTGAAGATAAAATCGAGGAAGGGAGAATGATGTTATAAGCCATTTTGGGTCCTCATTTGGGAGAAAAGTAGGGCATAAGAATCTAAATAAATTAATTAACTAGCAGTCACAACAAGTCACGGCCACCTGTCTTATATCTTGCTGATCTACGCTCTGCTTCTCAAGCAGAAAATAGCAACATTTATGCTTTCAACAGGAGACAACCAAAGCTGTTATCACTAAACTGAACTCAGAAGGAACTATCAGAACTCTCCTAACTAATATACCTAACCAATGAGAGCCAGGTTGGTGTAGTGGTTAAGACTGCAGACTCTGATCTGGAGAACCGGGTTTGATTCCCCATCCCTCCATCTGAAGCCTGCCAGGTGAACTTGGGCCAGTCACAGTTCTCCCAGAATTCTTTCAGCCCAACATATCTCCAATGCTCCCTCTAAGCTGTGGAATCTTGTGAGCAAAAATTCTACTTTTTGAGCTACTGGCATTAAAGTTGTGAGCAAGTGATTTGGCTACTGTATAAATTAGTTTGCCCTGAGCTAAGACAAAAACGTGTGAGCTGGAGGCTAAAAACTGTGAGCTAGCTCACATTGACTCAGCTTAGAGGGAACACTGCCTACCTCACAAGGTGACTGTTGTGGGGCAGGAAGGGAAGATGATCGTAAAGTGCTTTGAGACTTCTTAGGGTAGAGAAAAGTGGGGTATAAAAACCAACTCATCTTCGTAGTCTCTGTGCATCACACCCATGGGATTATGCGCCTGCACTGATCCGAATCGGTGGTATGCAAAGCTCACAAAGGGATTTTTGTGCCTCCCTCCTAGGCATGTGCGGGAACCCCACTGCACATGCCCAAGGAGGCGGGGCATGGACATCCCGCCAGTTTTCTTCTGACCGCCATGCCGTTAACAGCTTGTTTCTGCCAGTCGGTGAAGAAGCGTTATTTTCCTCTCACGAGGGATTGTTCAAATCATTCTTCTCTTTTTTCTCTTTGCTATGTTTATTTTATTCGTTACCTAAAAAAATAAGAACTTTTTCTGAGGGTTGCCGCCCCTCAGGCGGCTTCCTCTCTCCCCCCCCCTCACTCTGAGGTAAAATTACTTCGCCTCAAACGAGAATCCTATTTTTCTTTTGGTGGCATTTTATTCTTTTATGGCCGAAAAGTGGGGATGTTTTAAATTGTGTGTGGGCTGTGGCAGCAAACTTGCCCCTTGTGACAGCCACACACTCTGCATTCTCTGCCTGGGAGAAACTCATCGCCCAGAGGCTTGCCTCCATTGCTCAAAGTTCTCGAATCAAACCCGCAAGAACAGAGCTGCGCGGCTTCGAGTGGCACTTTGGGAGTCCACACTGACCCCCTTGCCTGCCGGAGAGATGTCTGCCGAGACCCCTTCCAACCAACCGATGACACTCCTGTCGACATCGGGAGGTACACCGACATCGAACCCCCTTCACCGTGCAAAGTTGGCATCGGACCGGGGGCCATCTTCTAAGTGTCCAGTGTCTAACGAGGCCTCTTCTGCCTCTACGCCAGTTAAAAAGAAGAAAAAGGAGAAGCACGAGAAAGCTAAGTCTTCTCTTACTGGCACTGTGCGTAAGTCTCAGAGTCTGAGCAGTGAGAAAGTGCAAAAGGGCTCTACAATGACCCCTCTTCAGTGGTTGCAACCCGACATCGAGGACTCTTCTGTACTGGAGCTGCCTACAATTGAGTTACTGGACTCACCTATTCGGCAACTGAACCCCCCAGTATCGGAGGTCTCCGTTGATACCAGACTGATCTCTGTCTCGCCGTGGGATGTCGAGGACGTTGTCACACGTAGGCCTTGTATAGATCGCTCTCCTTCGGCTGTTTCTTGGGCCAGCGATTGATCTTGGCCGGACTCTCGGTATCGACGATCCAGATCCCCCAGATGCGAGGGATATCGATCTAAGGAGTGCCCTAAGTACCATCATTCCAGACCCATGCTCTCATACTCGGCCAAACGGGAATTGAGACCGCACTCCCCGACCTAATTCGACCCACCTGTACCGTGGGACCGTAGGCAGTACATACCTTATTGGTTCACCTCATATCCAATGTCGGCATTGATGCCATGGCTGACATCTAGGCCACAGTTGAACTGGGACCGTGGATCACATTGTTCACACTCTCCCCAACATAAATCTAAGCCTTCCGCGTCTCAGTCCGTTCCGTGAGAAAGGGAGAAAAGTACTTCTTTCTCGACCTGCTCTATCCCATGCATAATCTTATAAACTTCTATCATGTCACCCCTCAGCCGTTGTTTCTCCAAG